GTACTGAAATTTTATTAACAGGCGATTTATAAATAGTACAAACTGCTGTTATCCAAGGATGGTGGTGGTTATTAATGAAGTTTAGTAGATTCAAGCTCAAGGACCAAAGAACAGGTCCCTATTTTGCCAGGCACTGCACAAACACAGTAGCCAGTATTTCAAAGAGGCTACAGTATAAATAGCCAAAACAGATGGAAAGTAGGGGAAGGGATATAACACCCACCTGCACACAGGAAGAGTCCATTCTGGTGACGGCATCACACAATTTGGGGTTGGAGGAGTAGCTGAAAGGAGAGGGAGAGGCCCCTTGTCCTCAGCCATAAGCAGTGTAGCAGTCTCTGCTTTGGCTGCTTTTTCATCTGACTTATCACCTGAAGTCTCCAGCTGATGCTGCATTTCTTACTACGTTTTCTTGCCTTTGTAAAAAAAAAAAACAAAAAAACCCCAAAACAAAACAAACCCCCCCCCCCTTTTTGCAAAGTTTTTACTACACATCTAATTCTTTAGTTTTCACATGAATCTCAATCCAACAATAGCAAGATGCTGTACTATACCCCGGTATTTAACCTTGTTAGTTTAAACACCAATGTTTTTAATTTGAACAAATATTTCGAGGTGCATGCAAGCATTACATTTCTGCTGGTGGAATTGCTGCCAGAAACACTTGGTATGCAAACAGTTTCTACTGGACCAGGAATAGTGGGACTGGTAGAAACTTGTACAAGAGAGAAGAAGTCACTGATTGATAGAGCATCTACCGATTGAACAAACACTTGAACTCTTACCTGACGGATAGACACTCCGGTGCTATCCTCTGTCACCTTAGCATGTATTGCTCTGGGCCCCTTTTCTCCCATCTAGAAAGAGAGACTGTAGGTTGGCTGGACTCCATTGCTCTGGCCACATTGCAGAGGCATCCCCTCTCCCTGTCTGTGTTGGGGCTCGGAAAGCCTAGTCTCATTTCACAGCCCCGGGTTCATGCAGCCCAGGGGCTGGGCAGTCAAGGGGGTTAAA